CTGAAAACAGACAATGGCTGGGGTATACCCCAGCGGACTGATGGGACTGGACTGGACTGGCTGGTACCGACAGAGGTACCGGCCTGGACTGGCCTACCCCGAATACAACACAGGCCTGTGAGAACAGGCCAAGGGGCTGGTCTCACAGGCCAACCCGAAGTCCGCTACATTCTCTCTCCCTTGTCTCCCTCCTCGCCACTATAAATTCCGCAAACGCGCCCGCAAATCTCTCTTACGTTCTCGACTCTCAAGACAGCTTCCAGGAAGCAGTGGCTAGGCAGAGTGTTTGGTGCGAGTTGGAAAGTCCTGTCGGGCTGACGATAGGCTGGCCGGCTGCGTGCTTGATCGCCACGATGGACTGTGGGATCTGGGCGAACCTCGTCGAGTTTATGTCGGCGAGGTGACGATCACAGTGGTGGGAGTTAGCACGCGACGGCCGGGATCGTCGGTGCGGGTATGAGGATCGACGATAGGAGTTGAGTGAGTGATTGGCCTGGGGCCATGTGGGAATAAACGGCGAATGCGCCTTTGTTGTTGCGGATCTTTATCTCTGGCGTGAGTGCAACGCCGAACTTCCTCTTTTCGGATCTTGTCCTCTTCTATCTCGACATTCCTCCCTCATCTCCCTCTCTCTCCTCTATCTTTAAATGATGAAGTGTCTCGATGTTTGTCTCTTTCTCTCTCAAATGGGAATGAGTCTGCATGTTGTTCCTGTGTGCAAGAACTTCTTCCGGAACTCTTCCATTAGTTTCCTGGGTAGTCCCCCTATGCAAGAACCCCGTCTTCTTGTCTTGTGAACGGTGGATGCGTGTGTATTATTCAGCGATCCATCTTTTATACCTGTGCACATCTCATTTTCGCACCCTCCACAGTGAATGTATGTATGGAGGTACGCGTGTTTTTGCGTTGATTATACGATTGTTGTCAGGACTTTGTCCGAGAGTGCAAGAGTGTTTAGATCTGTAGTTCTGAATGCAATGCTCATGCCATCTGCCTTATGCTGCACGACAT